GAAAGCATCGGCAAGAGAATAGCTTTTGGGTTTTCTAACATCCGGGATATTTCGGATTGATCCTACGAATAGATAATAATTATAAAGATTTACCGTTTTTAATCTCTCCGTTAAAGGAAAATATTTTCATTAGACGTGAAATTGTGAAGTATGAAGAGCTAAATTTTGCTAATAGATAGTCAGAAGTGAATTTCGACGATCACTTTGATGTGACATTAGAATTTAGGACCACGAACCTATTCACCGAAGGTTTCCGCCTAAAAATTAGACGACGGCTTTACCTACGGATATCTCTTTCGGGAAGCTATAATTCACGATGAAATTGATTTAGTTTGTATTTGTTTAAATTTCCAGTAATATTCATTTACATTATTTTATCACGTACAAACACAACCTGAATAAAACATTTAAATTTATAAGATTTTATAGTCTGACATTTAATATTCTTTATGCATATCATCTTCAGGTCGCCAAGATTTAGGACTGAGATTTATTTTTTTCTCGGCTTTCCCCCTCCAAATTTTATCTCTCTTGTCCATCGTTCATTCATAAATTCCTTCTCGTTCACTCGCAAACGCGCGCTCTCTCTCTCTCATCCTCGCACACCCGCATTTACAAATAGACGCCACCAGTGCACACCTACTTAAACACACTTGGAGTGTCCATTTTTCTAGTAATTACGGATTTAGCCTTATCAGAATTTCAAATTTCGCGTTAGCATTGCCTATATCCATACAAAAATGTGAGTATAATTTAGCATGTCGTATATATTTTTATTCTTCTTGTTCTTCCTCCTCTCCTTCTTACACTTCTTCCTCCACTTCTTCTTCCACTTCTTCGTCTCCGTCGTAGTCTTCTTTTTTTTTCCTTTCTTTTTTTGTACAAATGAATATTCAACGCGCGTGCCGAAGTGTCGAATACCGGTTGCCGTCCTCCGCTCGTTGTATAAACATTTGTAGTCGCTGATTCACCGTTTGCAAGGAAGGCGTGAATTATCAAATTTATGCTAGCGACGAGAGGACACATTAAAGCTGTCCTGCATATTCGTGTCTTAAGGCACACTAGAAATATATGATTGTAGCTTCCTAGTTGGATTGCGTAATTGGCAGCGATGAGGCACATGCTTTCATGCAATTTTTCACGAGTGTAGTTGCTCATATGGTTATAATTATTTTCTACCTGTATTTACTGACAAATTATCAATTAATTTGTAAACTAATATACTTGTTAAAATATTGTTGCACTAAGCATTTAATCTAATGACGTTGGTAATTCATAGTTAACAAATTCAAAAAATTTTTCCATTACCTTCGTTCTCCGTATTATGCTCAAATAATTATTTTGTTGCAATGGCTACACGAGAAGAAAAACTGCATGAAATTAACGATCTATTTTTGTCTAAAATTACGCGAATGAAAATAGAATATTAAACATTTCTCGGGGTCGTCAAATAAACTGTTTTCATCGTGACACATTTAATGGAAATACAGGCAAAGTGAATTTATCATTCATATTATTTACGTGTATAAATTTAAAGGAAAGTAATGCGAATTATTATTATGAATGAATCGAATCTATTACAATCACTTTCAATTTTAATGGATAATATGGCAAATGCGCAGTTAGCTTTATTTATTCATTTATTTATGTTTTTAAAGTCAACAATTCGAAAAAAACTATTTTAAATTTTACCACTTTTGTCAGGGTATATTGCTACTTACGAGTTTATTCGCCAACGATTTTAAATGCCTTGATTACTTGATATAATGTAACCAATTCGAGATCATATTTCATTGAAATCTCCATGTAATTTATAATTGCATATTATTTTGTAATTTTTTTTATTTTCCATTGAATGAAATTACAAAAATAAAAAGAATTATACATAGTAAAAAACAGTCGAAGCATTAGTCAATATTGAATGGTAATTTTAAATTCAGTGTACTCTAATTGAATTACAATAACGTATATTAGTACTTAGTATATTTGTGAAAAAGCACGTTTTTAGTAAATCACTTTACATTTCAGATTAATATTTTCGAAATTTTTCTAATTATCTTATATAATTAAATTTGCACCTGTTTAAATCAAGATCACATTAATATTATTATCCGATTAAATCTACAATTTAATGAATTATTCACTGAGAGAAAGAATTCGCTAATTAATACTTTCATGAACTAGAATGTAATTTTTATATTCAGCGGTAAATCAGAGAGTAATGTAAGCGTTATTAAAAATTTTGTTGGCCATGATTTATAAAAGAAGGCTTCGTAATTTTCATAATGAAATAATATTGAATGAAAATTCAATCTACTTTCATCCAATATTATTATTAAAATCGTCTAATTCCGACTGTTGGATATGACATAAATTAAGATGATATGAATAAAAGGGAAAAAAAATGTAGAATGATAAAAAAAAAAAAAAATTCTAATCTCACTTTTCATTAATTTTACAACTGCAATTATATTCCCTACTTACATTAAACATGATTTTCAATAAATTTGTTTTTATATAATATTACAAAATATTTATTCCCCGTGTCGTTCGATACAATAAACGACAGTACATACTTAAGCATTTAATGTAATATCCTTTCTGGATGTGATAAAACTCTTTCGTAAGATATAAATGTCATTTTAACTCGTATTCCTAACTGCGGATCCTTGGGGCATCACATTTTAACAAAATCGTATATTTCATAAAAATGTATTTTGCCATTTCTTTTTATTTCTCTTCGGAAAGACAAAAAAAAAAAAAAAAAAAAAAAAAAAAAAATAAAAAAAAGAACAACAAAAAGAAATAAGAAATACCGAAATATCTTAGAAACTTTAATCGTCCGTTAATGTTGAGGCTTTTGAAATTTCCTCAAATAAATTCTGAGTAGCGTAACGTAAATACGACTTCCTGTTTGAAATCTCTTCTCTTGCCCGTGTCTCGCACAAGCCGAGGAGGAGAAAAAGCCACAAAAGCAAAAATAAAAGACTGGATCCGTTTCATTTTCGTAGGTCACGCGATGGGGAAAAATCCATTAGAACGCAAAATTGGGTACAAAGTAGAAGCGCGCGAGCCCAACGCATTTGCTGCATTTGCTGACAACGCGTCGGCCATTGTTCGCTGCACATCGCGGAATATCTCGACGCAAAAGCAACTCCGAGGCGCCGCCACGTCACATTGTGTTCGTATTAATGTGGAAGGTGCGCGGCTGGACTCGCGCGCACTTAGGAGCATAAATATTTCAGAATGTAATAGGAGGCGCGCGCGCTCATCTAACGCCGGGCTAATTAATTGATCTTGTGGAAGCGGGATCCTTAGCCGGAGCGGGGCCTAATTAAAGCGAGACAGATTTCAAGAGTGTGTTTAGCGATAATTACAGCGCGGCCGTGGATAAGAATCGCAGGCTCGTATGCGCGTACGTGCAGGTCGCAGCGCTGTAATTACAAATTAGATCCGCGCGTATTATGTAACGACGTTGAGTTTGCACTCGGTCGCGCGGAGACGAGGCGCCTCTTATATTTTTTTTTTCATAGCGCGTTTTATTTATCGTGTTGCGCTTTCTACCCACCTCCCACCCCTTACCGGTTGTCGGTGGGTCGCTCGCCCTTTTCCGGCGCTTTGCTTCGATTCCCATCGCTCGTCTTCGCGCACTTTTCTTTTTAAATTGTTTAATATGCTAATCGCTAGACGCGGAGAAATTTCCTCGTTGCGAAATAGAAAAATCGCGAAATACACGTTTAAATTAAATTGGATTTATTTTGATCGGGCAGCAAAGTTTGAATGCTCATGCAGTTTGGATAGCTGCGTTTGTTGGCGCAATTAATGAAACTTGGGATTGCGGCAAGAGATGATGGTTCCCGTATTGATTTTTACATTATTAATGTAAGCGAGACATATTTTCATTGTAAGCTGTTGGCAGGTTGAAACATCATCGGTTCATTATGATTAATTGCTTTTTGTACAGATGGCAACGCTGTATTTGTCCAAGTTACGTAATTTTAGCTAGTAATTAAATATTAATTAACAGTATATTATTGTTCACGAAGTCGAGTGCGCGTTTATCTAACTGAAATACTTTGTATAAATACTTTGTATTCTCATAATAATATATTCTTATATATTTCCGTATGTAATATTATGTTCCTTATCATAAGAAATAGTCAAATGTTGCATGTACAATGGTCTTTTATTAAAAATTCGTATAACTACATAATAAATATTAACGAAGTGTAAATTAAGGCAATGTAAATAAATTTGTTCATTTTCAAAAATTCAATTTACATTACTAAGTTATTCACGGCTAAGAAAACGAGCGTCGACACTGTATATTGTAAGGCTAATGTACATTACGTAAGCCTTAAAATATTTCGAATCATTTGTGAATTTATAAAGAAAATGTATCCTAAATGAAATTCGTGGAAATCAATGCATTGTCGTTAAAGCACATCAATTATTATTTATGGTGTGTTTTATATAGCTCTTGTTAATGTCAATTTAAACATAGTTACTCTTTCAACTAAACTAAGTTTATGTTATTGAAATCTCACTGCTGATTAACATAATAGAAAATAAAATTTCGTTTTCTAATTGGTCTAGTATATGTCATAAAAACTGTTTTATCATGCGATCGACTGTGGTCGGTAGAGGTAAAAATAAAAATATTCCAAGTCCGTGAATTGGAAGAAAAGGTTTGAAACAAACATGCACGCACGTACGAACGCACGCTCGCACGAACACACACACACACACACACACACACACAAAGTAAATATAGAGCTGCGATTTATTCATCAAACGTGTTTAATAAAATAAAATTTTACATACATAATCATAATTTACTTATCCTATCAATTAATGCGCACCACGTAACATTACGGTTATGTAAAGCAGCATTAATTGCTCGAAGCGTTAAGTTAAAAAATACAATTCACGTTAAATTTACAAATGCATGGACTGAGAAAAATCCTAATGTGATAAACGGGATTTTGTAAAAATTGCAGGAATACCGTCATCGCCGGTGAACATCCTAGCTACGGCAACGGTAGTAACGGAGGAGGCCCTCCTCGAGGACGACGAGCTCGACGAAGCCACGGGTGCGGGCATCGACGTGGAGAGCGTCGCGACTGACAAGTCCATAAACGAGGTCGACGACGAGGAGGTCGACGTTGACGTGGAGGAGTGCAGCAGCGTGGACGAGGCGCCCCTGAGCCTCGCCAGTCCGGATAAGGTCCTGCTTAAGCGACGCAGATCGAGTCTCGAGGAGCAGGAGCCCGAGGAGTCGACCGGCAGCGGGAGGAAGAAGCGGCGCCAGGCGCCGCCGCTCTGCAACTCCGAGGAGTTGCGCGACGTCGAATGCCACTTGGAGACGAAGGAGCTGTGGGACAAGTTTAACGACCTTGGCACCGAGATGATCATTACGAAGACCGGCAGGTGAGTCGGGGACTGGGCTTTTTGTCCTCCTCCTCCTCCACCTCTTTTCGTCAAGATGCGGCGAGATATCGGAGGGAGGGGTGAACGTACGAGCACGCATACACGGACTGTTGTTAAGTTACAAATTTTGAGATAGGAAGCGAGAGGGATGATTAATGTGCTAGCAGCACGCGATCAATCCGCGGCTCGCGGTCACCGGTTTAAAGACCCCTTCCTTCACCTCCTCCTTCACCTCCTCCTCTTCCTCCTCCTTCTCTCATCCTCTTCTCTTCTTCCTCTTCCATCCTCTTTTATCCGCTAACTTTTGTAGCTTTAAGCAAAGTCCGACCTTATCAGCTTAAATATCGAAATTTAGCGCTGGATTTTTCAGATCGAGTTCATTATTCAGCTAGTTTTCTTTTTTCCACTGGTGGGGCGCTTTCGCTCGACAGGACATACGCTATAGCGCGAGATTTCTCGCCAACTCGCGATCGCTAACCGCACGTACTTACCATTTTCTCTCTCGGCTTGTCTCCCACCTTTCAATTAACCTCGCACTCCGTGAAAGTGTATTAACTTCTTTGCTGCCACTCTCGCATCTCATCTACAAAAATTAACGGCCGAACATTCGCTGTGTAATGTCGGTAATCTCTATATTGATCCACCGAGTTGAGTAATCTTTGGAGAAATAATTGGCTCGGGACATTAAGAATCAAATGCGTGGAGGAGGAGGAGGAGGAGGCGGAGGCGGAGGCGGAGGCGGAGACGGTTGCGGAGGTGGAGGCGGAGGAGGAAGTGTACGTACGGAAGGGATAGGAGATAGCGGTCGATAAGTAAATATTGGCCCCTGGGCTTTTGGCTAGTTTCTCTCGAGCTCTCCGGGCTTCTGGATTCGCTCGATTCGTCGGGATGGGGAAGTAACCGAGACACCCAATCTCAACTGCTTCTCTGCAAATCTGGAGATTCGGTGCGCTCCTCGCCAGCAATAGCGCACGGATCCGTGTAAGGTGAAAATTATGGTAGGACGAAAGGGCCGAGAGCTACCTGGGTAACGCGCCGCCCTATCGGCCTTGATAAACGACCACTGCTGACAATTAAAAACCCATGAACGACGGTGCCTTCTTTCCTCGCCCTCTACCTCCCCCCCCCCCCCGCCCCGGGCCCACCGAGGCGATTGCATCCCCGCCGTCCCCCAACCGACCGCGAGCGCCGTCTCGTTCGCGCTTTACGAGATATTTAAGATCGTGAGTCCTAGGTATAATTTATGGTTTCCCATTATATGCCCATGTGGGTATATCGCGTCCATTTTTATAGGTATGCTAATAAAGTTTGAGCGCGCGCTTGGCGCAGCTGCGACGAGAGCTACGGTATGCGTGACCACGTTACAATTATGAGAGATGTATTCGTGCGCGGGATGTAAATATAATCGGTCGTGAGCGCGTGCTACGCGCGGCACATGATGGCGCGGGTCAAGTTTTGTATGTGTGGAGAGGTGGGGTGACGATGGCATTGACGGTGGTGATGGTGGTGATGGTTGTAGTGGTGGCGATGGAGTGCGTAAATGCGCGGAAGGGGTTAGACCTCGACGGCGGAAGGAATGAAGGAGCGAGCGCGCGCGGGTGACTGTAGTGAAGGAAGAAAGAAGAGAAGGACCTCGGAAATTTCACCGCGTAGCGGAAACGCTTGCTCGAGTCGTCGATTCTATTCTCCTCCCAAGAACTTTCCACGTCCGCCCTCAGTCGTTTCACGTTCGATCGTCTCTCGATTTAACTGGGCGCCGATAAACTTATACCGAGTTGTGCCCTACGTCCGTCCGAGAGGGAACGAATGATAATCGCGCTGTCGAGACGCGGTAGATCTTTGTATTAACGGTGTCGGGGTGCGTCTCGGTGACGATTCCGTTGGCACGTCGTGACCACGACGATGGCATTGCGATCGAGCGAATCGATCGCACGCCGATAAGGTCGTTCGGCTAATACAAGTACAAGTCCACGGTGAAAGTCGCCTCTCTCGTTTATTGCACGAGCGATTAAATTATTTTTATCGTGTGATTTACAACGTTACAGGTTTTTTTTATGAACTGTTGAGCGCCGGGAAAAAGGCGACTTAACGGCCACTCGTACGACTAATTTATTTGCCGCCCCGAAAAACGTGCGTGTATCGAAGAGGAGGTAAAAATAAACGAATAAAAAAAAAAAGAAGAAAGATGGAAAAAAAGAGGACTCGGCTCGTTTTTACAACTGCGTTTTACAACGGAGAAATTAGCCGAACGAGAAGCGCTAACCGCGGCGACAGGAGCATTAACATTTAAATAAGCAGCGGCCAATTCAGCTGGCGCCTCTTGCTCGCGCTCTCCCTCCCACCCTCCCCTTCACGTCGAAATTCGCGCTTGTTCTCGGAAGGACCCACCTCGGAGCGGAGCAAAAATGTCGTATTGTTTCCGCGAAGTAACGAAGTAGTCGCCGGGGTCATGGAGGAAACGTACGATAAATGGGATAAAAAAAGAAAGGGAGAGGGAGGTGGAATCGCGCCTCGGCCTAATGCGCCGACGCATTAATACTTCATTTGTATTCCATTTAGCGTCACGTCAGCTCAACGAGGAAAAGAGTAAAGAAGAGCCGTGGCAATCGCCCCGGCAGTGGCACTAGCCGATCATAGTGATAATTACCCAAGTCGGGAATCTTTTTCTCTCTTTGGCTTACTGTCACATATACACCACTCGGAAGCCCAATACCAATGATTAATTACCGGACGGGCGGCTAATGAATTTTCCGACCGTTTCACGCGCTTCTCTTGCTGCAGATGCATTCTTCCCTTTTCGCTAGACCGGACCACCTCCGGGAACATATCAATTTGCAGTCGAACGCCTTCTTGGCTCCCCTACACACTCATTTACTCTCTTTTACACCCTCCTCCCCCCGTACCACCACCTATACCGCCACCCGAGACCCATGGGTCTCGGCCATTTCCTTTCGGCTAAGTCTATACGGCTCCACGGGAGTCGCGTGAAATCTCGTACGATCGTCGCCGATGGCTATCTCTCGCTCTCTGATACGTCGATTCTTCGAATCGGCGATGACGACGACGACGACGACGACGACGACGACGATCACGACGATGACGACGTTCGTTGCCTTTGTTTTTGTTAGTGTTCGACCACGACGGGCAGTCGATGTTGAGAGGAAATTGCTGCGGGTTCTAAAGAGAGATCCACAATGCGAATTTCGAAGACCAATCAGGTGGAATTGTCGTGCTGTTCCACGGGGGGTCGACTTATAACCCAAAACCCGGTTCTACTCTCGTCCTCGACCTCGAACTCCCCCCTTCCTCCTTCCTATCACCGCCCAACCCCTCCTCCGCCTCATCCTCATCCCTCTGCCCAACTTCACGTCGCACTCCACATCTTGCTGCAAACAACTTCCCTCCATCATCCCCCCCCCTCGCTCCCCGCTCCCCGCCGTACCAAGACGAATCCCTCTGACCGTAAAGCGAGACTCGCGTTCGTTTCGCACCTCCGCACAGTCCTTTATCTCGGTCCTTTTACTTTTCTCTTCTTCTAATTTTTTATTATAAACATTTCCCACGTTCCTGCGGGATTCCACGTTGGGTTTTGTAGTTCCCATTTATGAAAGCGAAATTTCTGCGTGTGGCCGCTATTTTACGAGTGATTGAGCTTCTACACCTAGAAAAGAATATTTGGTAGATGTATTGAATTGCGAAGAACGTCGTTGGTTGGCGTTTGCAAGCATAATTATTGCATTCTAACATCGGTATTTATTATGCAAATCATGTCTCGCTTTCGAAAGACATTGCTACGAGAAAAATTATTTATTTGATAATGTTTCCCATAATTAAAAAGGCAATGATAAACACAAGATATTCAAAAGAGGGTATCATAAATAATTACATAAGCGATTCTCAGGTAGGGAAAAGAATTACATCTCTGAATTTTTTTCTTCTTCTTTTTTTTTTCTTCAATGATCGACAAAAAAGAAAATCCTTTTCATCTTAAGAAATACTGCATCTCTTAAGAAATAATACCTGCCTACTTCCTACTTATCATGAACAATCGACGGAACGAAGATCGAAGGGACGAATAGTTGGTCGATATTCTTCTGTTTAAATGCTGACGTAATGCGCAAAAATCTGAAAGATGAGATATCTCGCTCTCTCTTTTTCTTTCTCTCTGGATCAGCGCATTGTCAGCATATCATTATCTCCATCGTTAGGATTATCATCATTTCGAATAAGTTTTGAAGTGGCTAATAAAAGACTGCCATTGTCGCCTTGATCTCCATCTTCCTCTCTCTCACCCCACCCCTCACCATCCACCCAGTCCTTGCTTTCGCTCTCTTCCGACAATAAAGACGTCGCTCTGTTATTACCGTCATTATCGCCATTATATATCATTCGGTGTAATGTACATTGTGGTGCGCTTTGCCCATTTTATTAATCTTATGCATGCGCGTTGCAGCTCATTTCTCATTTAGAGGCACGAAAATAGAGCAATTAATCGCTTGATTATTTAACCAAGCCGATAATGGTTTTATTAGCTATTTGGAAGAAATTGTTAGCTTCATTTATTTATGTTATACTCACGATACCCGAAGTTTAAAAAGTAACTAACAATATGCGGACAAATGTTTTTGATAAAAGTTTTATGCTCTTTCGCATAAAATGCACAACACGCATTATTATCACGCATATAATTTCGCGAGTTGTATTAAATGCACGAGGATTAAATGGAAAAGTAATAAGGATAACATTATACATGAAGACTCGATTAGCATAAACTATATGTTTTTAGCATTTTTCATGTTGATGCATAAGATGCTTGAAAGAAATTTATGTAAAACAGATATATTATAATATATGCCGTTTTCAGCTTACAGTAGCATAAAAGCAAACTGCAAGAGAAGCAGTGGATATAAAATTACGTATAAAATATAAAAGCGATCATTTTATTAATAATATCTACAAGCCTTGGGTTAAAATTATGGGAAACAAAAGAATGTAATTTGGAGGTAATAAAATTCATCTCCATTCAGCCTCTAAATAATACACGATACAGAGACTTTTCTAAGATAGAGGATAAGCTTAAGAGTGAGGAAGACAATAAATGGAGTGTTTTTGAGATTTATATATATATATGTATATATATATATATATATATATATATATAGTGTGTGTGTGTGTGTGTGTGTGTGTGTGTGTGTGTGAGAGAGAGAGAGAGAGAGAGAGAGAGAGAGAGTGAGAGCGTTGGGCGGGGGAGAGGGGGGGGGGTGGGGGGGAAGAGGGGGGGGGGGGGGGGGGGGGGGGGCGCAGAAATATACGTCGCGAAAGGCAAACTCGTTGGCGCTACACGTCACGCGAACCCTTCATCAGCGTACGTCAACCTACATCTAACATTGGCTGAAACTAAACGCGAGTCTCTGAAACACGTGTCTCTCACACTTTAAACTCCGATGTTTAAAGGACACATACGATGACTGCATTAACAATAATTTACAATGGTTAATAGTTTTTGCTTTCGTCGTGCATTACCTTTAGCATTGTGGATATAAAATCTCTTTGATAGTCTTCTTGAACGTGGAAGTTGCTGCAAGTTGCGGGACGATAAAATCATTAGGATAAATATAATTTCAGTGTGAAAATATGAAATTTGATGATAAAATGGCTCGTCGTGGCTTACTCTTGGAGTCGGTCGTGCAAGTTACTTAGTGGAATGTGACAGTAGAAAAGTGACGATTTACCTGTAGACTGGGCCTTGATCGATACGCGTCCGGATATCGGAATACAACTAAGTACGTCAGTCGCACTCGTGTATTTGTGAAAAAGAAGAGGGGGGAAAAAAAAAAAAAAGAAAAAGAGAAAACAGAATCAGACTAAGCATCGACGTGCTTACGTACGTATGCAGACATTCACACGTGAGTCTCGCTCGGATTGTAATTATAAGAGAGACAACACCTGGCGACGACAGCGACGAAAGCGACGAACAACCGGGACAGTTGTTAGTTGTGTTAAGGCGGGACGTTGGCTTTCTACCTTAATATCGCTATCGCAGCTATTAACTGGTCGTCGCGTGCGCGCCGTTGATCCGTTGTGTGTCAGATCGCTTAATTGATCGATGGCCTCGCTTATAGATCGGATGCTCGGTCGTTTTAATTGACAAGCGATTTGGCCATAAGTTGATACGTTTTGTCGAATTGAAGGGAGCCGAGCGCGTGCCTCCTCGTAGAAAATAAGTGACTTTTTATTTTTTTGCAATTATTCGTGAGTTTAATTAGGCTTTGAGGTTGGATAATAATTATTGAAATAAAATGCCAAATATTTAAGAATATTGGTATTGGTTGTGGTAGTGGTAGTGTTAGTGGTAGTTGTTAGTGGTAGCGTTAATGGTAGTGGTAGTGGTAGTGGTAGTGTTAGTGGTAGTTGTTAGTGGTAGTGTTAGTGGTAGTGTTAGTGGTAGCGTTAATGGTAGTGATAGTGGTAGCGTTAATGGTAGTGGTAGTGGTAGTGGTAGTAGTAACAGCTGTAGTTGGAGTGGTGATAGTTGTGCCAAATTCCAAGTCCCTCCAAAGCATCGAAATAACGCAGTTTCGGCGAAATGAATTATTTACCTGCTGCTGTAGTAAGCAAAATAGTGATTTATTCATATCGTATTTTAACAATTTATAATCTTTTATTATAAATATAGTACATTTATAAGAATATAGACGATTATTTTATTTGTGACAAGTTGTGCGACGATGGGCCTCCGGTAGAATTATATCGTAAGATGATACAATATAATTTGCTTTAACATGATGAATTGTGATTTATCGTTAAGGAATATCGTAAAAGATATGCGTTCGGTGGCCACGGTGATCAGTTATTATCCCAGAACATGATTGTGATGAAGCCACAGAACTGCGTGGCAAGAAACGTCTGGTACTGTTGATAATTCTTAGCGAACGTTGCTGTAATGCAGTGCAATACAAAGAATATGAAGAATGTTGTTAACTTTTGCACGAGGCACTGGCGATTGGTTATCTGCCCCTGCTTTCGTTTCTCAATTCGTCGTTTCAATTTCTCGATAAATTGTCGGTCCTCCTTGCTCAAACCCTCGGAATTCGGTCGCTGCTGCTCCTCGCTCTCCGTCTCCGTCTTATTGCAAAGCATCGGCAACTCGGATTGATTAAACGCGTCGCTATAGAATATCGTTTGATTGAAAGTTTCTGTCTCCGGCTTACTAATCTCGGTGATCTGCTCGTTCTCTTGGTTGCGTGGTTTTGGAAAGAAGTGCGAGATACCGTCGCTCGTTAACCGTTCCATGTTACAGGTTATTCGGCTTATGCGTCAACTTCAAAGCTGTTACGCGTAATGGCAAATAAAAGCAATTGAGTAAAATGCTCGTTATAACGCGTAATAACGAGGCCAATAACGAGAGATCGAGAGAGAATATTTATCATACATGTATAATGTAAATGCATACTGCGATTTTTTCACTCTATTAATTTATCCATTACTTTTCGCGCTTCATCGAAATATAAAATTAATTGTCCTGTGATTTTACTGATTGAACATATCTACGAGTGTCACACGATGGTCACATTCATTCTACCGATTCGACAAATTCTCTTGCCTTCTCGATGCCTGGCCCGAGCATTCGATTAATTACTTTCGGTATTCGCGCTGCCGCGCGCACTCCATCCAGCGAATACGTCAATTTAGTTTTTCAATACAAAACGCAGCCAATGTAATGACGATTATGTTGGCCGTTTTAACGTAGGCGGCGATTGATTAACGCACCTAAGAGTAAAGATGTGGCCTGAGTGCTAAAAATAAAAGTGCTCCTGGCCTAGAGCGATATTACCCGGATACTCGGGACCTATACCTTACGAAGCGGCATATTCCTTGAATTTCAAAGAACGTTTGTCGATGGATAATGGTTTTGGCGCGTGCAACGACCATGGCGGTAATTACGAGACAACGTGTCACTGCGAGCTCTCCCTTGTCCTTCGCTCCCACCGACGACAAAACCCAGCATAATCCTCACGCTCGATCGTTTACCTTTTACTCGACAGGAGGATGTTTCCCACCTGCAGAGTGTCCTTCAGCGGCCTGAAGAACGACAGCCTGTACGCGGTGCTGATGGACATCGTGCCCGTGGACAACAAGCGCTACCGCTACGCCTACCACAAGAGCTCGTGGCTCGTTGCGGGCAAGGCCGATCCCCCGGCGCCGGCGCGCCTCTACGTTCATCCGGACTCGCCCTTCAGCGGCGAGCAGCTGCGCAAGCAGGTCGTCTCCTTCGAGAAGGTCAAGCTCACCAACAACGACATGGACAAGCACGGACAGGTAGGTCGCTCTTGCCGATTAACTGACTTTTATGTTATACATTGCGGATTGGCCGTAAGGGAGCTTTTAATTGGCCTCGGTTCAAGGGCTTTGCGATTGGAAGTTCGCTGGCTCGTCCCGATGATAATGTTATTAAGAATTAACGATTGCCTATTTCATTAATGAAACTCCTTCGAAATATCCGGCCCTAATATATTTACAGATTACTTTTAAAGGCCTTGTCTTGTTGGCCATTGTATCGCTTGAAATTATTCGTCAATTATTTAAGGCCGAGCGCGATTAATCATCGGACGTGACGTAATCACATGCATTTAACGATTAGTAATGCCGTAATGCTTATTTTTCTTGTTATTATTAATTTTTTACGTTCTTTTTTTTTCCTCGTGTATATGTTATTTTTTGTTGTTTTCGTTTTTGTTTTCGTTTTTGTTTTTGTTTTGTTTTTGTTTCAATGAAAGAGACACTAATGAGCCTGTTTTATCCCGATTTCGTTGAGTTTAGGGTCTGTTTGGGAATCTTAAGGACTGCCGCGTCATTGGCTAATATAATATTTAGCTACGCCTTAAAGAAACCGATGGGAATGCAGATTACGTTGCCTTCGACACTAACGTTGCGCCCGTAATTATTCATTTTAATTTTAATATTTAATATTTCCTCTTGGTAAATGAAACAAAATAGCTTTAGAGAATATATAATTAAAAGCGAAGGCAATGTTAGGGTAAAAATCTGCTTTTTAAAACTTTAGAATAATATATAACACCTGTTACTCGACTTCATAAATTATGTAAATACCAAAACCTATTACAAGTGTTTATTAATTTTTCCTGTTATCTTCATTTGCTTAATCTTTGTAAGGGTTTTTCGAGCCAGACAAAAGCGAATTTGTAACTGACTGTAAATAGATCTGGTAGGGGAAATGGGAGGGGGGGGGGGGGGGGGGGGGGGGGGTGGGGGGGGGGGGGGGATGACGGGCGAGATACATTTTGCCAACGATAATCCAGAACGTTCAGGGTGGGCTTTGAGAGCTATTCCTCCCCTCCCTCCTCCTCCCCCTCTCCACCCCCTCCCCAACACCGTTCTTCACGCTCTTACACGCGTACGTACTCACGTACGCGCATGCACGTAACACTCAGACACGCACACGTACACAAAAGTCCTCGACAGGATTGTATAAACATCGATCGGGGAAAGAAAGTGGAGGCAAATTAGCGTCCTTTGCCCCGACACGGAGATAAACTGTCTTGGGCCGACTCAAGGCTGGGGCTATGTTTGGCTTCTCGGTGGGTGAGCCCCGGAATTAAGGCACGCGTTGCAATGGTGGTAGTTCGACTCTTGACTGAGTGACCGGGTGAGAGTCGAGGAGTAATAGACCCTGCGAGTAGCGTAGAAATCGGATTTTTCACGGTGCAACAACAACGAAGTCAGAAGGCCAAGGAAAAGCGGTCTCATTCTCATTGTGATGCTCACGCGAAGAGCATTCTCGAGTCAATAGTTTAGTGTATACGTGACGTATAATGCCACCCGGGTATGAGCTTAAAGCCGAGGTTTGTTTGGTCCTCTCCAAGGATCCGCTCATTGTTCAGGCTATTATTGTATTTCAATTGATCGTAATTTCCCTTGGTTTTTCCAGGATTTGATTTGCCGTAGGATCCTGAAGGGATTTCGGTTTTTGTTACGTTCTCTCTCACTCTCTCTCTCTCTCTCTCTCTCTCTCTCTCTCTTTATCTTTTTATATAGACGGATGCTGCGAGAATGAAAATATTAGGTGTCGTAAAAAGACCAGGAGGTCGGACAATCCGTTGAATAAAACATTCGTTGCTGTTTTAAAATGGTAAGGGGCCACACAAGAGACGTACATTTTATTGGCTTGAGAGCACGATACTTTGGGAAAATAAATCCCACACAATGTTGCTTTGTCCGCCGTAATATAAGACTTACAGCATTTGGAATGTACCCGAATTAGCGTAAATTTCAACTACTTCGACTTTATTTCAATGCATTATTATTACGGTTATCGGTAAGTGTAGCATGTAAAAGCCAATTGGTCGTGACGCGGAAAATATTGACACTTTCTCACTTTCTGTCAATAAAACAAATCTCCTTTATCATTCCTATCAATCGTCTAAAAAAAAATATCGGACGGATGTGCTTACAGTGAGAGTGTGTGAGAGAGAGTGTGTGTGTGAGAGAGAGAGAGAGAGAGAGAGAGAGAGAGAGAGAGAGAGAGAGAGAGAGAGAGAGAGAGAAAGGTTATTCGGTCTTGTAGAGTTTGAGGAAAGTGGATCGATGATGAGGCATTCGTTGGCCAACAAATGAGCGCGTGCGAGTTAGGCGGTGCTCGCACCAACACACGTACGCGCATAGTTTGAGACGCGCGAGCGCACGCGTCACCGTTATGCCCGTTAATGGCGTCCTCATATATCACTCTTTTACTATTTCGATTTAACGCGTGCGATAAGAGGCGCGCTCGCCTCGACGATAAATCGAGCGCACCCTCCTCCCACTCTACCTCCCTCTTCGCCACCTCCTCCTCCACCTTATTTTTCCTTCGTCGAGCGCGGTCAGCTATCGTTAATGAGCATTGCGCCGTTTCGCCCTAACGAATGTATGAATTTACCGATACATCGACCAACTGCCGGCCGTGATGTCGGTATAGCAGGACGGAGGATACCCGTGGCATATTCCAGCCCCGTGCAAAAGCCGCGTCGGGGCAGACGAGGAGGAGACAAGGGCAATAAGAATGATTGCCGAGCAAATAAAGACGGCCCCGTCGCACTGGGCCCGTCCCAGCTTGCTAATGATTTCTGGACAGTTAGTTCTTGGGCGCACGCGCGGCCGTGGAACAATTAAGCCTCGTAGCCTCGAAGCCACGTAAACTTCGCGCTCACTGAGTATCTGCATTAAGGAGCGACCGGTCCTTCTCAATCTTCCGCTGTATACCGCGAAGCGCTGCCATTATTCCTCGGCATATTCATCCCCCCGTTTTAATTGCCAGGACGGTCGTTAAATTCCGTTCCTCGAAATGGAAAAAGAGGCGAGAAGGCGAGGCCTGTGGCTAAGTCAACAGAAGCCAGTTGCAGTTGCTCGCACTTAACGACTGATGCGCGCGACGAGCGAGAAGAATTTCACAGTACGAAGAGACTTTGCTTCCCCGCATCAGCAGGCACACGGTCTTTGTCGACGAGGGAGCGGCGTCGCTGATTATCCGCTCGTCGCCACATATTTCTCTCTCTCTCTCTCTCTCTCTCTCTCTCTCTCTCTGTCTATCCCTCTCTCAATGTCACATACATACAAAGAGGGAGGAGGAGCGCACGGGTGTCGTGCCTCGGTTTATCTCCTGGAGGCGCCGCGAGTCGTTCGCCGTTGGAAGGAGGCGCGAGTCCTTGCAAATCGTCGTGACAAAAGGACCCGGACGAGCGGGCCTTCGATATATTGGCTTGTGGGCATTCGCGTGACATGTATGGGTCCTGCTGGCAGGGGAGCGACGTCTCGGGCCGGTAATTCGCGACTGTCTGCCTCGTCTCGGTCGCTATATCCGTTTCTCTCTCTCTCTCTCTCTCTCTCTCTCTCTCTCTTTCTCTTACGCTCTCTCTTACGCTCTCTCTTACGCTCTCTCTCTCTCCTCTTCAACGATCCCTACTCTCGGCCCAGACTCTTTAAGGAATTTCGCGGCCGTCGGGAAAGCGCATTAGCGAGAGGCGCTGGTGTTTCGACCATCGTAATGCTCCCGACCGTTGTAAAGCCCCCGGATTTACACGCGACGAGTGTAATTCGCGTTTATCGCGCGCGAAACGTACGGCCGGGGATAATCGTAATTGGGAATTCGAGTAAAATTCTCTTTATAGCCTGCCTCGGACAAGTAATGCTGAGATTTGGGCCATAAATTTTCTGCTAATCCGCTCCGCACGCGAAGAAGAAAATAGTATTAGTCACCGGTGCTTTTAACCGTCCTGCTTGATATATCATTTTTCCTTGGTCATTGGATTCGCAGCGCGCGAGAATTATAAATTATAACTCATTATCAGCTGCTTGATAAAATAATCGCTCGTAAAGAGCGTATCAGCGTCCGATTTCTTCTTAGTCCCATTATCGTTTAACGAACGAATGCTGGCCCATCTAACATGAAATGGTCGTTGTTTACACCCGCGTCTCATCCGGATTTTATGAAAGAGATATCACACGAGACATTTGAGGCTTATAAGTCGAAAATTTACACAAAAGTGTTTAAAGTAGATTACTTCTGATTTCACGTCTTTTATTTTGTTTTATCGCGGTACACTAACGGAGGCCATAATAATTCTGAATGCTCGTGCATTTAACGAAATGACAAAGCCGTCTGCGATATAATGAATATAGCGCATGAAGAGTGAAGTACACGCATGCAGATTAACAAAAAAAAAAAAAAAAAAAAAAAAAAAAAGAAAAAAAAAAGAAAAAAAAACCAAGAAAGAATAAACAGAGATAGGATTATTTGTAAGCGAGGGCGCTCGTGTGTGAGTGACAGCGTGTGCACTGGTGTGTGAACGAGAAAGAGGGAATGGAGGAGAAAAAATTAATAGTTCCAATGAAAACGGGCGCGAACGCCGGAGGAAAAAAAGGAACGATCGCGCTCGTATCGTATGGGTGTAATTTCGAAGCGACGGTATGATTTAAGAAATTCTCTTTCCACACTCTTCTCCTACTATTCGGCATCGCTTCCCACCCCCCTCACCAACGGTAC